TTTTTTCAAAGCATTGAATAATTAATATATATGCATATTCAATAGTTACAAAATAATGTTAATAATAATTATTATTTTTTTAATTCTAATTTTTCTGATGATGAATTTTTCTTTGAACTCCTCAAAAAAAGGAAATGACTAAAATATGTAAACACAAAGGCATAATCAAATTAGCTATCCAAATAATTATCATCAAAATTAATCTGAAAGGATGAGTAATTATCTCTCTGTCGATTAGTGTCTTCAAAAAAGTATTGAAATTTTTAATGAAGTTTTAATTGTGTCCTAACTTACGAAACCCGCGTGGATAACACAATTATTGCAATTAAGAAATCTTTTTGTCATTTGTAGGTGCATCATATATTTAAAATACAAAAGGAGGGGTGAGAGAGGGATAAAAAAAAAGTTAAAAAAATAGCTACTTGTTGAAGTAGATTTCAGTTTTTAGCAATCAGCTACTAGATTAAGTAGCTACATCGGTAAGTAATAACTCGTAAAATCTTATTGATTCCAGTATCCAGGTAAATAGGGATTTTACGTTAACTTACATAAATTACATGTAGATTGTAAGAAATAATATACAATTAATCAATAAGTAGAATATTTACATGTAGATTGTAAATTTGTTTAGGTTTGCTCAAATTATTTGAATTATAGTATTAGTTACTTTTACGTTTAATTAAATTAATCAAAATAAATTGTCATTGATTTTTGTAGCAGGTAAAATTAAATGAATATCATCAGTTATTGTTGTTTTATCAAGCGCACCATGACCCTGAAATTTGGCCAGATCCTGAAACATTCGATCCTGACCGTTTTTTGCCAGAAAATTCAAAGGGTCGACACATATACTCNTTTTTTTTTTTTTTTGCTATTAAGGTACCTAAAAGATAATAAGAGTAATAACTCCTACAGTGAAATGAATTACGGGGCTGGTAAATCAAAGTTTTACACTTCAATTGATAGCGTTAGTCACGCTAATGTTAGTAAACTTTCAGCTCCAAGCACCAAAAAAGATCAAACGTTATATTTATCCAAGTAAGCAATTCTTTTTTTATTCACTTTCCATCGAAATTAATCTAATTACACTTTTATTTTGTAATCCCTTGCAGTTCTACTTTTTACAACGATACACAAGAATCTAAACCGGAATCGTGGAGCAACACCGATATCGTAAGCATCAAACTATGTGGAAAATGACATTTTATCCGTCCAATTTCTTAAATAATAATTTCCAATTTATTTTTTAATAGAACGTAGTTAGACAATGTCGTACCCAAGACTGCAAATTTTTTGGTTCGGCCGAAAATCAATTTTATTGTTCGCAGTGTTGGTCCGACGTCGGCGCTGAGACGAAATTCAAGCTACCTTATGATAATAAGTTTTGTCAAACAAAAAATAAATGAGCCTGATTTGATTTTGTTCTCGGCACGATTTTGCAGCTTCAAGCCAATTCATCGTTTTCTACTCGTGCATATAGTATTCAATCACATTTCTTTTCTTAACGTAGCTTGCAAAAGGATTGTACTTTTGTTAATTTTATCATAATCCATCCAACGACGAATGTTATTAAAGTTCATGTTTATATGAAGTAAACTACACCTCAAGTAACGTAAGATAGTTTTAAGCTTCATGTTGAAAATTAGAGCTTTATTCAATTCACCTACTGATGTGTTGCGACTTAAATTCATGATCAAATATATTTTCGTACGATTCTTGTACTTTATTATTTTTTTATTTCTCTGTAATTTGAATTAGGTACAGTCGACGTTATGCCAAAAATATACGTATATTGATGTATAGTTAAAAGTTCACGAGCTTTAAAAATATTTAATGTCGGAACTACCTACCTTAACTAGAGTATTTGAACCCATGGATCAATAACGACAATCCTGCCTTGCCTTGTGCGCCCATAACAAAATAATTAATACTCGACAATACGTCACGCTTATTTAAGTTATTAAAATTTTTCTTTTTCAATCACGTGCTTCGTAGTTCTTACCATCATAAACGACTATAAACAATTGAAGCGTACGACACAGTATATTTTTGCGAATCTCTTCAACAATTAATGATCAAAATTAATTTAAAATGAGAATATAAAAAAAAGTACATGTATCAAAAAGATTTTTTTTTCTTTTCTAGATACATATTCTCACGTTGGCGCACATTTTACGGCGACCAATAATCGTTGTAGCGGAGACGATGCAATAATATAAAATAAAGTATTTGATTGAAGTCAACTAATAAAATGATGAATTTATCAAAGTAATTTGAATAAAAATTAAGCATTTAATTAAATACTACCAATTTCGAATGAATCTTATTTCACCTTGACTAATTAAGTATTTATAATTATTCTTGTTCTCGAATAATCGATAAAATGAACCCTTATTGGCCAAAATCACAAGTTAACTACACATTTATTGACAGACTTTAAAAATACAAGAACGAGAATCAAGGGGCCCTAGAGATGCAACTTAATTGAGTTATTATGGATAAGTATTTTTTATTGTATGAACCGTTCAGTGCCAAAATACCTATACCTACTTATAACAAAGTAATACTGACTAAACCATCAGCTAACGTTTTTATGGCTTTACCTAAATGACCACGGGATTCTGTTTTTTTATTCCAGCTTCTTTTGATTATACCTATAGAATAACCCGTTGACCGTGAGACGCACTTGAAATATATAATGTGCGTTACGTAAGTAAAGTTAAGTAGCCAATCGGGCGCGTGTGCGATTGAGCGTGTTTTGGAGTTTCGTTTCGCGAGTGTGGTACTGTGGTGGTGAATTGGTGATACCTATTGTGGTCACACATGCGTCATGCAGGTGTGTTATTTGTTTGTGTATTTTGGTCATTGGTGCAGGTATAATGGTGTTGGTTGACGGTGCGCAGATTCTGTGGTCAAAGTTACTTACTTAGTTCATCATCATCAGTCAAAGAAACCATCGAAGATATAGTATATTTAATACAAGGAGAGCAGCGCAGCAAAACAACAGTACGTATACTTCATTGCTGGTACCTCTTTACATACCTTTGCTGTGTAAGATGTTGATCCGATCCATCAATTGATTATTAGATATTTGATTGATTTCTCCCCTCGCTTATATATACGTATATACTGCGAAGAATTAGTCGTCTGCTAGATACTGTTTTGTTTACCAATAGCTAATGCACGTTATTGCACTTACTGACAGTTGGAATAAAACGTATCAATCACTTTTTTGGCTTTTTTTGATGTGAAACATCTTTTGTTTTTCATTTACCCTTTTGATTTTATTCATAATTTTAATTTACTGTTGTACTCTTTGCTGTCCAAAATATAACTAAAAACATGTACAATTTGCAAGATAGCGTCGTCTTGTTGTTGTGTACAACCTTTGCAGAATACGTATATGCATAAGCATACACAGACGCGGGATACACATTATTAGAGAATAGAAAATAACAGGCAGTGTTCATCTTTACTTGATTAGTTGTAAGTACATTGAGAATGTGAATGCTACTGTGTATTTTAAGTCTAATTCATTGTACTCAGTACCATTTGTTTGTGTGAATTTTACCTGTGCTTGGATTGTGATTCATTTTTCATTTGACAGTTGTTACTTTGAACTGTTCTTACTTCCTATCAGTGGTTATGACACAATGCCAGTCCTTATTACCTTAAGCTAAAGCTGGCAATGTGATGAATAAGGAGTGATTGAGATTTGTTGTTGTAACTGAGAGATTCTTTCATTTATCCTCAGGTATATAAGTAACTGAATCCCACAATTGTTGCATCCAAGAGTACAATGTGAGCATACGTTCATCGACACAATGTACACAATCAGTATTCATGTGAAGCAACTTGACATATGACCTCCAAGTTAAGTGGCAGGGGCATCGTTGCAAACCATACTTTCAAATGTCGTTACACGATACTGCAATGAGTGGTGCCTTATCGATGTACGATACCCTCAATAAGGAAAGTACCGCCAATGGTAGTGCTCTAGAGCCTACTGCCAATGAAGGAGCTATCAAAAAGTTATCTAGAGGCATATCAAGGGCAACGGAGAATGCTGATATTGTCAAGTATGCCAGGAGACAACTGGAACTGGGTTCTATTGACATGCCAGAATTCACATTTTCGTTGCCTGACTTATCCATTTATCCAGGTAAGGTTATTAAAGGCTTACTTATTTTTCTGAATTTTACTTCACGTTTGGATTTAGCATTGTTTAATGCATGTACATATCACTAGATACCAATGTAATTGAGAAAGATTTTTCAAAGAACTATTTAAACTAGTATCTAATGTTCAAGAGAAAATTCCATTGCTAATAAATGGGAACTATCATATGGTTTTTATTTTTAATTACTTGCTAAGGCTAGACTATTTTCTAACCAAGGAATTGTTCTACTAACTTGAGCATGAAGGCCACCCTTTTTAAAACTGCTTGATCAAGTGCCATCTTTTAGTAAGTATCAATGAGCTTATACTTTAATTTTCATTTTTCAGATGACTTTCGTCAATTTTTGGAAAAAGAACTTATAGAAGTGGGATGTTTGAATTCACTGGAAAATGCTGGAAGACTGAATTGGTGGTGCGGAGGAGGAAAAAACAGGGTATTATGGCCACTGGCAACAACTGGTGACGGGAACTGTCTTCTTCATGCTGCATCTTTAGGAATGTGGGGTTTTCATGACAGGGAACTTTCCTTGAGAGAAACATTGTACGAAACACTTTCAAAAGGAGAATATCGTCTCGCCCTCTTTAGGTAATCTAGAGTTTTTCTTTGTGGAAGTTTTAATTTATTCTTACTCAATAATTTTTATTCATTCTAGGAGGTGGAGATGGAGGCAAATGGATTTAAATGCAGCAGCTGGTTTGTCATACACAGAAGCAGAATGGATGTCTGAAAGGCAGAGCATTGTTGACATGGCATCAACATATCCTAGGAATCATACTAGCACTTCTTACCAAAGCTTGGAAGAGGTAAATTCAAAATTTTATAAGAATTGCTATTGAGAATGGCACTATCATATCATAAGAATTTCATAAACACAATCACAATCAGTAAGAATCAATTTTTTTTTCTTTTCTAGATACATATTCTCACGTTGGCGCACATTTTACGGCGACCAATAATCGTTGTAGCGGAGACGATGCTTCGTGACTCGGAAGGTGTTGCAATGGCTCCGATACCCTTTGGTGGCATCTATCTGCCCTTTGAGGTACCCCCTTCTAGCTGTCACAAGACGCCTCTACTGTTGGCATATCATTCAGCGCACTTTTCGCCTCTCGTTACGGTAGACAGTAGCTCGGATCCGAGTGAGGGTAGCATCGAGGGTTACAGTATACCACTCGTAGATCCCGACACTGGCCAACTTTATCCAGTACTATTTGCCATAGATCCTGGTCCAGATTGGGTTTGGACTGCCTCTCAGGATCTATTGCCCTGTGAAGCTACAACTGTTAGTAACATATTAATCTATTGTTATGTTCTATTTTTATTTAATAATTATAATTTGATCTTATGATCTGCTTATTCGTAAATCCCTTTTGTTTTCTGTTTTGATAAACTGCAATTCAATTATTGGATTAAACTTTTTCTTTGATTTATTTAAAAATTGGCGTATATAGGGATTTAAACTCTGAACTGTGAACTTTATATATTCACCATAATACATAAGGACACAAAGATCGCGGGCGTAGATGTCTTACAGCTTACTCTTGCAGCTTCCAAAATACTTTATGTAAATTTTTATTGGTAGTTAGTGATTTAGCTGAATTCAAATCTGTTAGTGATTTAGCTGAATTAAGAAAGAAGTCGCGAAAACAAATCTCATGTACTTTCAAGAAAACCGGTGTATGAAAAACTGACAAAAGAAATCCGCAAATGTGCTAAAAAGTAGTTTTTTTACTTTTTTAGTGAAAAAAGTCGCACCTGAAGTGTAAAAAAGTTTCTTAATGGGTAACTTAAAATATTAAGAATATATATTACAGAGAATCCAGATTTTTAAATTTTTGATGCGTAACTGTAAAAACCGCGTCAATGACGTTTAACATTTGTTTTTCAAAATCCTTTTTTATGTTAAGTTAATTTAGAATCTTTTAGCGACCTGCATTTTTAGTGAAATTCATTCGAATCGAAAAAGCGTCTAGCTAAACAATCGATATTGAAAAACTTATTCGCCTTCCCAGCCATTCGAAAAATAAATCCTAGGAAACAATCTACAGCAGCGAGTAAAGAAAAGCTTAAACTTTTAGATGGAAGTTCTCATAAAAAAATACCTCCAGTGCGAGTATCAGGTATTCATGCCAGATGAGATGGACAGGTTATCGGAGTCAGATGCTACGCGAAGTAAGACGGCAAAGCAGCTGATGGGCGTAGCCAAACAATTTGGATCGATTGGCAAATCGGTCAGTAAAAAGTTCTGGTCAATGGCCAAAAGACCAAAGAGCCACACGGCCTCCAATTCGGGAGGTTACGGCGATACGTTACTCTGCGTTAGAATTAGAAGCAAAAGGCACAAATTTGTCGATCAAATGCTACAAAACTACCTGGAAAGCGCTCACGAGAGGTACGCCCAAAAAAGTTTGCCGTCTACTCTCAGCTTCCTATTTTTATAATGTATGATTAACATTTTTTTTTTTTTTTT